AGGTCACATTTTCACTTATCAAGTATGTTCCGTAGAACATATCCACATAACACATATTTAGTTAATCTTTCACATAAATCTTTATCACATAACATTATCCAATGTTATTATTTATTCACATTCAAACATTTATTCATGGTATTTTGTTTCATAAAGCATTAATCATTATTTTAATTTAATCACATATATCATATTTTCATAGTGATTTACATAATTATTTCATATCACATATCATTCTGCAAAGTATTCATTTACTTGTATAAAACATAATCATATAGAAAATCTTCATATATAATCATATCATTTCATTTTATTCAAAACAGTTTAGGTTGGCTCATCACAAGCCTTCCTTCAAACATCAATAATTTATAGCACTCACCTTGCCTCACTGAAGTTCTAAGCAAAATCCTTAACCCTTTCGAATCGATACTTAATATCTCAAGCTGATCAAAAGTTGAATACGTTCAACACCTACACAAAACAATCATAAATCAAAACACACATCGAATTACTTGTATCCAATTAACATAACTTGTGATGCAAGAAACTCTACATTTCCGTTTTATGCCTAGAAGTATCGATACCATCTATACAGTACTGATACTACCCTTCATGGGTATCGATACCTCTTCAAGGTACCGATGCTGATTTGGCATTCTGTAATCGTATCTTAAAAATGTTATCGATATCGTCCCCTGGTATCGATACTACCCTCACAATATCAATACCATCTTCAATTGGTATCGATACTACCCTTAAGAAATGCACAGATTATCCCTTGAAGTAACGGTATTGTTCTAACGGTACCGATACTCAAAACCCATAATTGTCATTTTCACTTCGAAAATCACCCAAAAATCCTCTCAAATCTCTTATACCATCCTTCATTAAGCCCTTAAACTAAACTTCTTTCATTCAAACCAACTTGTCATCAATTACTACTCTTAAACATACCAAATTTCACCCAAAAATCTTATCTCTAAAAATTATACCATGTTTTCAACCAAGCTCTTAATCATTTCTAATACTCCTAACCCTTTAATTAAGTCATTGACAAGTCAAATATCTTATTAAAACTTCAAAAACTACTCCTTATTAAAATTTCATTCAAAACCCATTTTACAAAATCCTTTCAATTTCGCTCATTTTGTTGTTTTAATCATATTCAAGCTTTCCTTAAACTTATTTAACACCCAAGCTTCCAATACCAACCCAAAAATTGAAGAAACCATCATATTTATAAAAACTTACCTTTGCATTGGCATTCCACGGCAAGGAGAAAGAAGAGAGAAATGTTCTAGGCTTTTCCCTTATTCCACGTGTTACCTTCCTTAAAAAGAGAGAATATAAAATCTTTCAGGTGAAAAGACCATAATACCCTTCCACCAAACCCAAATTAATATCAAGTCCTAACCGAAATTTCCACAATAAATCCTTAAATTTATCAAATTATTCTATTTCAACCACTAAGTTTAAAATTCTTACATTTTAACCACTGACCCGTTGATTGGGATGTTACATAAATGGTCACAAATATTTAAGTAAGTTTTCGTTTTTCCCATTGAAGTTTTAAAAGTAACAAATTGGTTACTAACATTATCGATTTATAACAAATTTGTCACTAATGTTATCAATTTGTAACAAATTGGTCACTCATTACTAACCGTCGTTATTGGGGTAACGAGATGTTAATGTGGCACGTAAAACTAATGACTCGACATTGTTTTTTCATGTGTTTGATTCTCAAAACTGTTGGCCAACATTTAAGGAAAAGATTTGAAGAAAAAAAAAGTTCTCTTCTTTTTTATTACCTTTCCACATAAAAATGAAGGCAGTTAAATCCCACCATGAAAAGAGGAAAGTTTTTGTATCAATAGCAACGGAAAAGTGAACAAACCAAAGGCGTTGATTCATAAGATAAAGTCAAAATTGTTTGATTTTATGAGTGAAAAACGATGGGATAAATATTCTTCTTCAAACACGAGTTATTTAATTTTATTAGAATATTCTTTAAACTTCAACTTTACGTAAAGAAGAAAGGAAATACAAATGACTGTAAATTAAAAGCAAGAATATGTGCACATGAATTTACTTCTGATTTTTTCCTTTTTTTTTTTTGGTTCTATGAAGTGGAACTCTCTCTCTATATATATTCTTCAAGGTGATATGAAGAAAGAAAAGAAAAAGGATTGGTGTTACAAATTGACTATTTTTGCCCATGATGTTGCAGCAAACAGGTTGGATAACTCGCATGAGCTTATTCTAAATGCATCAAACATCAAAACCGGACCTATTCAGCTATGGAGCAGGCCATGTACTGATGTACAACCAAACCATGCTATGGATCCAGGACTTGTTTACGACTTAGCCGTTATGGACTATCAAAACTTTCTATTAGCAGTGTTCTTATCGAAACCCTACAAATGTTGTGGATCAATCAATCTTTCAACTACCCTTCAATCATTATCCCTAAACTTGTTCGAATCGATACAGTGACTATGAGCGTTAAAAACGTAGGATCACGAAGCACTTACAAAGCTCAATACAGAAACCAATCGGGATATTCGTTTACGTTAAGTCAAAAACATTGAAGTTAAAAAAGGTTGGGGAATAGAAAAAGTTCAAAGTTACCATGAAAGTTAACAAAGCTCATGCAATTACAAAATATGTATTTGGACAGTTGATATGCCGGTCATGAAGTTCACAAGCACATGCTTGTGAGTATGCGTAATTTCGGTCTATGACATCAATAGAGTTTACAGTTGAGACATGGTATAATGCTATGTAAGGTTTCAAATCGCGGTCGCGATCGCGTTTTCGGTCATTTCGGGTTTACCGTGATTGTGGCGGAATGAAATCGCGGTCACGGAACGTTTTTTAAAACCCTGATGCTATGCTTCGCCTTTCTTGTTCTCCCAATAATTCTCCCTTACAAATCAAAACCCACATAACTTAAAATTAACTCGAACATATTTGTCTTGAAGGCGAAGTTTTGTCAATGGTTTACAAAGGGTTATGCGAGTTGCAAGAATAATTGAGTCCATGGCTCGAGAAACTCCATAATTATTTTGCTAAGAATAAGTAGAGGTACAGATGAGCTAAGGGGGAAAAAACAGGCGACGACCGCAAAGATTTAGAGAAGAAGGGAGATAATGACTATTGATGATGAGTTGGTGGTGGCCCATGTTGTCGATTCTCCACCGGTCAGGGTGGTTCCTGACCATCAACATTGCACTAGTTAGCTCTACAATACTCCTTTATATTCATGGTGGGATGTAGCTGCCCTGATTTTTAAGCAGAAAAGGTAAGAGAAGAAGAATGGAAAAGAGAAAATTTTACCTATATGTCGGTTAAAAATTTTAGGAGTCAAACGTATGAAAAAAATGGTGTGAAATTATTGGGTGACATAATTTTTATAAATCGATAACATGAACAATTTGTTATAAATCGATAACGTTAGTAATTAGTTTATTATTTTTAAAATATCAGTAGGAAAATAAAAAGGGTAAACTATGCCAATGGTCACTCATGTTTAGAGTATTATTTGTTTTCATCACTGATATTTAAAAAGTCATAAATCGATCACTAATTTTATCATTTGTTATAAAATGGTCACTCAACATTAACAACTGTTAATAGACACGACAGAAAACACATCTGGACCGTTATATGTTGACATGGGTTGTTGACTGCCATAACTGAACCATTTTGACCGGCTTTTTTTCTTCTTCAACCCAACCTGATCTTCTTCCTCAACCCAACCTCATCTTCTTATTTTTTTTCTTCACTTTTCTTCTCTATAGCTTCCCAACCAAACAAATTTACAATTAACTCAAACATTATCTTAAAAATTAATAGCGAAATTTTTCAATTTTTTATTTTATTTTAATGGAACAAGCCCAAAATGAAGAAAGGCGCATGGGAGGAATAAAGAACGACAAGAAGCGTACCATGACGACGGAGACTGCGAGGGATGTCAATATAAAGAGTACCTTCGAGGCCCAATTGAATCAAATGGCAGTGAAGATCAAGCGGGCTCGGGCTTCTTCGTAGGATGCTCGAATAGAGTCGAAGCGACAGATTAGGTTGTGGGAGGAGGATGAGCGGGCGAAAATTCAAGCCCTTGATGCTGAGTATGCTCATGTTTAAAAGCGGCTTCCAAAATCCTAAGGTTCGTCGCCTGGTTTTCTTCGGGGAATACATAATCGACATATTCTTCATACCTGCCAAGACAAGTGATTCAACATTTAGTGTTCCCGCAGAATACCAGTAGAAGCAGAGTAAAATTATACGAGTTACGTACCCGAAAACACTTCCATCTTTACTTGTAATTTGCTTCCTCATTTTGAGTTTCTAGGGTAACTTGGACTGGACTGCGCTAACGTCACCAAGCTCGCCAAAACTGCTTTCCATGCGCCTTTCTTCATTTAGTGTTCCCGCATAATTGATTCGACTCGAGCTCGAGCTCGAATTGAGTTCTTAACGAGTCGAAATAAATTATTTGATATTCGACTAAAAAAGCTTTGTGAGCGGCTTGAAAATATAATATATTAAGATTTTATTTTTTTTTAATAAATTATTAATAATATTAACATTTATGTGTTGATTTTTAAAAAAATATATACAGTAAGGTTTTCATGTATTTAAGGTTCAGGTTCGAGTTTGAAGCTTCAATCGAGTTAAGTTTAAGAATATTTTTTTCATTTCTAGCCTTTTCAAGCTGCTCACGAGCTTCAGTTCAAAATTTCGAGTTCGAGACGAGTTTGAAAATTTTAAGATCACGAGTTTTCAGTCAATTTGAGCTTCATTTTAAAATTTTCGAGTCGACTCTAATTCAGCAATACTCGAGTTCAACTCGACTCGTTTACATCCCTAGGCATAGTTTACCTAAATAAAAATGTACTCAAATATTAGTGACGATTTATGTATTTTACCCTTTAAGATAATAAATATAGTGAGAAAAGTTTCTTTGGCAATTGGAATGCGAAATTTCACATAATTAAAAGGGGACGCTAAAGCTATGCGTAGTCTTCCAATTTCACCCTACTCCGCCCCCATATTAAGCACCAAAAGTAAGCAGAAATTTCATTCACCATTGAAGAAGCACCGAAACCCACAAATAAGAGCTATGAGAGCCGTCGTCCAAAGGGTCGCTTCCGCCAGCGTCGAGGTCAGTGTTTCTCATCTTCAGCATCTTCGTTTTCTTACCGTAAACATCATAAGCTTCACTTTCTTTTGTTTCCCAGGTCGATGGCCGCATTGTGTCGGAAATTGGACCTGGTCTCCTCGTTCTCGTCGGACTCCATGATTCCGACACCGAGTCCGACGCCGATTACATGTAACAAATCGTTTCACTCCATGTCTCCACACTATTCTTTCTTTTAGATTTTTTTAAGTTGTTGATGGTGAAAAATGAAATGGTTAATCTTCTTTGCAGTTGTAGAAAGGTTTTGAACATGAGATTGTTCACTAATGAAAGCACTGGCAAAGGATGGGACCAGAATGTAAATTTCCCCCCTTTTACTTTTAAATTTATGCTGTGAATTGAGAAGCCAAGGGACTATTGGTTAAATGGAAAACTGTAATTTTAACCCCTCGTAAAAGTTAAAATTTAATTTCAGCCCTTCTACTTCTGTGGTATAATGACAAATTGTACTTTAGGCCTTCAAAACTTAATAATTCAATTTGAACCTTTTAGCACCCTGTTCTAATGAAAAAAAATACATTTGTGGCTTCTCCCTAATCCAATTTAAATCCTTTTAGCACTTTCTTTTTTCGGATTTTAACTCGAAATTTTATAATTTTATCCCGACCCCTGTCCCTTAACACAAAAGCCTCGACACTAGCCCATAGTTTTACACATAAGGCTCAAGTTTGCGACTTTAATGTTTGGGGTGATTCTCAGGTCACGCAACGTGATTATGGAGTTCTGCTAGGTAATTTTGATGCTTTGAAAAGGATATATTTTTTCATTGTTTATTGAATTATGAATTCTAAAGTTGTTTGGGGCGCTGCAGTGAGTCAATTTACGTTGTATGGGTTCTTGAAGGGTAACAAACCAGACTTCCATGTTGCAATGCCACCACATAAAGCTAAGCTTTTCTATGAATCTTTGGTTGAGAAATTCAGAAAAGCTTATAAACCAGATGCAATAAAAGGTTATTCCCATTTACCCTCCATTCATTGATTCATTGGTTGATTTGTAAACGATTTTTTGTTCGTTCTTTTAAGTAAATTTTAAATCATTTGTGAACACATTCATTTTTAGATTCCAACCTTACGTCTGATGTGAATCAAGATTTGAATATGAAATGTTTCGATTAGGTGTTTTTCGAAATCCAAACGTTCGAGTAGGAAACTTGAGACGTACCCGTTCCTGGATTTCATAGAGCAAAATATGGTCTCAAACATAGCATAATTCATTTGGTATATGATGAATACTGTGTTTGAAGTTGTTTTGACTCGTTTTGGTCATTTGGTGTAGATGGAGTATTTGGAGCAATGATGAAGGTGAGACTTTCACACTGTCCCTCTGACCAAAGTTTCAATTCTCTTGCTTTATGAGTAGAAACATTATTTGGGGTGTATTTTGACTCGGATCATTATACTTATTTATAGGTTAGTTTGGTCAACGATGGACCGGTAACGATGCTGCTGGATTCATCACAACCATCAAAGTGAGTGTCACTGACCTTAGTGATATCTGTGTGATTGATTATTAAACTGTTATTTCCATGGCTATTGCTAACAATTGTGTTCTAGATACTAAAACAAGGTTGAACCTTTTCAGGAATACAACTGGAGTGGCAGAAGAATCCTAAATTAGTGGATTGAATACACTATTTTGTTGGCACATCTTTGTAGAATTTGTCACAACAGCTATTTTTTTGGATAGCTTCATGATTGTACCTAACATGTTTAAGTACATCGATCTAAATTCAATAGATCAAAACCATAAACAGATCGAGACACCAACTCGAATCAGTTTTTGAATTTTTCGGGGGTTTTTTTCCGGTGGCCTGCTCCTATCAAAGGTCAATTGCAGTGTTTGATGACAATACAGCTAGGTACAACCAAATAAGTTTAATGAAGTCTCTGTCATTTACTTACTGTATGCCAACAAATTAGTGATGATTATTTTTTTAATAGACATAACGTATTGACTTGTTATTAATCAGATCATGGCTTATCGTCTAGTTAAGCGATTATTTTCAAAATAATCATCATTAGTTCCATCAAATCCCATGTTCTCCCATCCTCAACACTTAAATAGTTAAACCAACCAACCCACACCAGCAGCACTAAAAGCACTTTAATAGTCACCTATTACTAGCCGCGTCCTTGCACTTGAAGAAAAGAAACCCTGCCCTGCAATCATTCCATATCGGGTCTCAAACAGATAATGTTTGGTGTTTGTTCGCAGCAAAGTTGTTAAAATGTGGGCCCTCGGCCTTCCATTTCCTTTCATACTTCATCTCCCAGTTGTTTATAACAATATAATCAAGGCTCATTCGAAAATCAAACAACGGAAAAGAAATGAGCACGGCGAGATTCATCAAGTGTGTTACGGTCGGGGATGGATCCGTGGGGAAGACTTGCATCCTTTCATACTCCAGTAACACTTTCCCAACGGTATAACGATGGGATAGCTATGAAATATAGCCATTTCCAAGGTGATTAACAGTGATGATTAATGAACTGGTTTCGTTTTGTTTCCTTTTTTTTTTTTTGCGATAGGATTACGTTCCAACTGTGTTCTATAACTTCAGTGCCAATGTGGTGGTAGATGGTAACACAGTGAACCTTGGCCTGTAGGACACTGCCGGTAAGTTTTTTACAGCATTATACTGATCGTTCAAATCCAAGTTGTGACCTGTGAAATTCCAGGGCAAGAAGATTACAACAGGCTAAGGCCTCTTAGTTATAGAGGAGCTGATGTGTTTTTGCTGGCGTTTTCTCTGATAAGCAAGGCCAGTTATGAAAACATCTACAAAAAGGTAAGTTCTGGTGCTATAATTCCCAGTTTCTTCTGTTATTTTCCATCGACATTGACATAAAATGCTTTATTTCATGGCTTACAGTGGATCCCTGAGCTAAGATATTATGCTCCTAATGTACCAGTTGTGCTTGTCGGAACCAAACTAGGTAATCTAATCTATGATCTATCCCCATCATCATTACACATAAAAATCTTGTTTTTTTCCCCTCTTCATTTTACTCTCTAATTGAATGCAGATCTGAGAGGTCACAAGCAGTACTTGAATGGTCACCCAGGATCAACAGCGATATCAACTTCTCAGGTAAGTTAAACAACATAAATTATCACGACACACGGAGGTTTCTGGTTGAGACGTAAATGTTCATAGATATTGTTCCAACTAATGCTGAGAATCCATACGAAAACTCAGTGAGCAGGGAGAGGAGCTGAAGAAGATGATAGGATCAGTTGCTTGCATAGAATGCAGTTCCAAAACCCAACAGGTAACCTCAGTGAAATTCAATGGCGATGTAGAATTGGAAGTGTTTAAAAGGCTTGACTTTGCCTTTGTTCTGTTTCTTCAGAACGTGAAGGCAGTGTTCGATGCTGCAATAAAGGTAGCTTTGAAGCCACCAAAACCAAAGAGAAATTCTTGCAGGCCAAGATCATGTGCTTTCCTTTGAAATTTGATTATTATTACAGTCAAAAACACTAAACAGAAAACCAAAAGAGTTTTCTATGTAATTTTATATGTTATTGTTTTTTTACTTATCGTCATTCCTAACAACTATGATCCTATTGATAAATGAATCGCTTTCAATTTTCGATTTATAAGTTCACTTTCACTAGATAACAAATTCTTTGTTGTTTCTTCCAAGACACGGCCATGTATATTGTTCCTCGAAAGTCTTAATAGTTAATACCAAGTGACCAAACTATACTTCTTTTCCCAAATGGTGCCTAAACTATTTTTTTAACTAATCTCGGTGATTAACGTTACAAACGTTACCCATGTAGATGTCTAGATCGTCAACGGTGTTAATTCTTCCGTTAAGTGACGTGTCACAACCTGATAATTTTAATTTTTTTTTTAAAAAAAATATATATATATATTTTTAAAAAGAAAACACAAATTTTGAAATAAAATCAAAACTTTAAAAACCTTCATTTCAACCCCTAAACCCACGTCAGCTGACTTCAACCCCTAAACCCACATCGATCATCATCTTTTGCTGTTGACGAAGCTCCACCCGACCTCCCGTCCCTCCGACGACCAAAACCCCCATGAAATCGTGATCGATCGACGACAAATCAACATACCCCGCGAACCCTAGGATAAAAATCGCGATCCCACATGATTCAGATGGCCAATCGACGGAAACTACGACAATGTATGAGTAAGAGGATGGTAGAGACTATGTCAGTGGTGTTAGTCATGGTCGAAAAGGGTAGCAACTGCGGATTAATGATAGGTTTTGGGATTTTATGAAAGTTTCATAATATAAGAAAAGTTAGTGTTTTTTTTATAAATATCATAATATTTTTTTATAAATTTCAAAATACCAAATTGTGATACGTGTCACTTTACGGAGAAATTAGCGTTGTTGATGGCTCAAACATCTAAATAAATAACATTTATAACGTTAAACACTTGGACGAGGCAAAAAATACTTTAAGCGTCTATTTGGAAAAAAAATAGTATAGTGAAACAGAAAAAAATAGTATAATTTGATCACTTATTTTGGTGTTAAGCCTTCCTCAAAAGGATTCCCAATACTACCTAATCTTAACTTGTTGGTGAAATTGCTTTACGAATCCCTATATGATAGTGAAACGACCAGGATAATCATTTTTGAAACAAAAATACCAAATTCATGAGGTTAATTATATATACTATTATATTTTAAACAATGAATGAAGAGGAAAAAATATTAATCGGAACACAAAGAAATACTCAGAATATTTGGTAGGAAGAAATGATTTGCAAAGTGTTATAAGAGAATTAAATTATATAAAATATAAAATCTTGAGATTAAATTAAAAAAATTCATTGTACAAAAGGAAATTGAAATTACATAGATATTTATAATAATAGAGAATGTTTAAATTTAACAAAAACAAATTGCACTTAAATATATGAAAAACTAAAGATTTTTAAATTATAAGAACAAATTGTAAAGAGAAAATTTTGTTATCGAAGAAATAAATTGAAGTTGCATATATATTCTACCGTGATCGACGAACACATTATTCAAATTTGATTAAAAAAAATAGACTTAAAACTAAAGAGGATTTAAAGAAACATGAAAATTAAGAACCAAACCACAAAACAGTCATATTACTTAGCTAAAGAGCAAAACAAAATTTTAATTTTAATTTTTCGATTATTAAAATTTTGTAAATCCAATCTAAAAATACAAATTAACTCAAGCAACTTAAAAAAAATGATTTTTCGAGGGGCATTTGGCAACGGAAAAACAGAAACATAGTTATCAAATTATGTGCCACCAAATAGGGAAAACAGTATAGTAATGAGTAGTAACCATCACATTTTAACGAAAAATAAAATAACAAAAGCTCAAACTTTGAATATAACCCACCTGATAGCTAAACTGTAGAAAGCACCCATATAATCATATACTGGAAGAAACACTTGCTGTGTATGAAGCTTTGCAAGAAGGACTGTCATTTTCGAGCTTCGACCTTCTTCTGCTCCCTCGCTGAAACAAATTCAAGTAAAATGTTCATTCATCTCAACAACTCAAAAAAGTTGGGTAATAACATCTGCAGCTCCAGATTCTTACCAGCTTTTTCTTCCTCTCGTTTTTTAGCAGCTTCTTCTCTCTGTTGACGAATAAGGGCTAGGCGTTCTGCATTACCAAAGTTCCGAGTTAGTCGTTCTTTTTTTTTTTTGTTCTTTTCAAGGAAAATTGGCAGTACACTAAACCCCACATGATATTATCTCTAATTACCGCACAAAGCAGAATCAAATAGACTCAGCTTTACAGTTTTTCCACTTAACGTTTGCATGTTAGCTGGGATGTGGGAAGCAATTTCGCCTGATTAAGATTTTAAAAGCACAGAGCATGTTTATCTCCCCACAGGGAAACATATGTACTCAGTTTAATGTCCATCTACAGCCTCTTCAGGCATTTTAAGTTTCTATTTCTAGCCTACAGAATTCAACTCCCCTAACATCTACCTAGCTAGAAAAAAACATTCCCAAATTAGCCCTTCAACTGGAGTTGATAGGGGTGATGGATGATTATGTTGCAAATTGCAATGCTTAAGCCACTCTAGTAACTTTACGCGACTAGTAAGCCATGTGACAAAGGAGGTTAGATAAGAGGTAAAGCAATATCTGGTTGACTTACCCAAATCTTTCCTTGCTTGTTCTGTTTTCCCCTGCTCTTGCAGCCTCATGTATCGCTCATGGGCTCTCTGCTTTTCTAGTTCCTCCCTGTAACAATTAGAGAGAAACATATGACAGAGCATTCACATAAAAGCCATGACTAGCGACATAAAGGTCTCAAAAGCAGAATTTGGCGAAAAAGAAACAGGATAAATTTACAAACCTTTCACGCCTAGATAGTTCACTAGTTTTACCAGCCTACACACAAGAATGAATAAAATTAAAACATAAATTAAAGCACTAATTACAATAACATACAATCACTGAAACAATTTATAAGGAGACTTTGTGAAACTAACATCGAGATCTGTAGCTTTCAAGTTCTTTGGCTTCACCAAATTAGGGTTGTTGACCTCGATCACACCTTGAATTCCCTTGCGCTTTTGCTATGGGTTGGCAATAAGAAATCTTTCAGATTTCCAAATCATTCAAATGCAAAAAACAACTGGCAAATAGAAACTCGGTTATGAAAAACTTACTTCAGTTTCGTCATCAGATTCTTCTTCAGACTCCTGTCCATGTTCCTCCTCAGATTCTTCTTCCTCTTTGTATTCAGCTTCTTGCTAAAAACATTAAAGAGTGAAGAGTTCTTATAGTTTTAGACACACATAACTACGTAACAAATGTGTGCGTGTGAGCGCATCGGAAAGAGAGAGCATACCCGCTTGAAAGTGCGAGGACGAGTAGAAGTACCAGCAACTGCAAACACAAGTGGAAAAAGATCAGAAACAAAATAAAACATGGTTTTATTCAGGAAGTGTACTTGAAAATTGATTTCAGAAGAAACAGCACCTGTTAACCTAATCCTAACTAGATTAAGCAAAATAACTACTCTAGCTTTTCAAACATTGTTTTTGGACATATATTTTCGATAAATCACTAGAATAAAAGATCAAAATTTCACAAATTTGAATAGCAATTCTGCAATTTCAACTATGTTCGTCAACCACAAACTAACTTGGTACATGTTTGAAGAAGCCCCACTAAACCAAATACAAAGATCATAAATTTTTCCTTTGAATCGAATACTTTCGGGAATATAAATAGAAACCAAAACTAAAATTGAAAAGTTTAAAAGAAGAAGAAGAAGAAATCTTACGCATCTGTTCAGGAGTAGAGAAGTGGCGCTGACCGGTGGGCTTTGCCTTGAATTTTCCTCTTCCCATTGTTTAACAACAGATAAACAAAATCGTCAAACGAACCAAACGGTTGCTCTTCTTAGACCTAGGGTTTTCGAAGAGGATAAAAAAAAACCCTAGCGTCATTTTTAGGGTATTTTTATGGGTTAATATACACTTTACCCCTTAACTCGATACTTAATAATATTTATTTGGTTCTAATTTAATACTTAATAATACTTTTAAGTGTAATTATACAATTCCGTTGTTAATGATTTAATGATACGATGTCTTATCAAAACGACGACGTTTTGACACAATTAATTTAGTGCTCAATACACACAAAACGACGTCACTTTGGTTGAAAAAATTATTAAATTTTTGTGGTTGAGAGGATTTAAACCCTAGACCCATATAAATAAATTTTAATGCTTAACTATTGGGACACCTGACTTGTACTTAGAGGCGTACATCAAAATTGTAATAAGAACAAATTAAGCTTGAGAAATAGCAATTTAGAAATGTAATAAAAATCCCAGAAGTAGAATAGCAACAAGTGCAAGCTCCAACTTGTCTTTTCTTTAACAATTCACATCTTTTTATTGTCTTACAAACCACCCAAAACACTATATAACACCATTTCTCGGCCGTCGATACAACTTCACAAGAACAAATTATGCTTTTTTTAAAAGACTCAAGAAGAGCAAGATGTGGCATAAATCACAATCTAAATAGGTTTTATCAGGGTAGTTTACAGTGATGATACTCGACTCTCCTTCTTTATCTGCTTGCCTTATAATCACAACATTGTCATGCAAAAGACCAATGCCTTTATTTTTTAAAGCTTGAATAAAAAAATAGTGAATATTTTGCCTTTTTTATTCTTTGGGGGTGTTTTGACTTGCTTTGTTTTTAAAATTTTAAGGAATTTTGTTTTGTTGAGCGTACTGTCATGGAGATAGAATATAAAGAGAGAAACCGAAAGCAAAGCGCAGAGAGAGAGAGAGAGTTACTGGTTTGCCTTTCTTCCCTTGTGCGTCACTCATACTTATTGTTTACCAGTTTATTTTCGTTTCCCTTTTTTAGGTTTTTCTTAGATTTTTTTCAACGTCTGATAAACCCTCAATTCGTCAGAGGAATCCACCGTCTGACTCAGCTGCTTCTTCTTTCCTCTCGCAAACGACTGTTGCAGATACGTTTTGGTGGAGAAAAGAGAAAATATAGTTGAAAATTTTACGTTTAGTCCTTAAGCTATTTGAAATTTTAGAGTTAATCTTAACTAGAATTTTAGATTTTTAAAAAACTTTATAGAAAAAAATAACAAAAAAAATCAAGGCAATCCAACGATTAAGGATTGAGATTTATTTCTATGGGTTTGGGGGTTCAAATCCCCTTGATCTCAATATTTCAATAAATTTTTTTCAAGCAAATGATGTCATTTTGTTTATATTGAGCACTAAAATAGTTGTATCAAAACGAAGTCGTTTTGGTGAGGCATCCGCATCAGCGTCGTCACGGCAGTGAAACTGCCATGTCATTGTGTCGTTAAATCATTAACATCAGAGTGATATAATTGCACTTAAAAATAAACATTAGTGTTAAATTTATAAAATTAAAACGTTGATGTTATTTGAAATAGTTCCTGAAAATTATTAAAGCTTTTGGTATTTTCTATTAATTCAATTAAATTTCTCATGACATGACAATTAACGCCAACAAATTAACTTTTAAGTCTTATATTGATAAACTTTTCTTCTATAATTTCATCAAACAAAGATTAACGTATTTTTATAAAATTAATTTTAGGGTAAAGTATATAAATACTCACCAAACTTTTAGTGTGCTTGCATTTCGGTCACTCAACTTTTAAAACTTACAATACAATGATTTAACTTTTAGTTTGTTTTCAGTAAGGTACATGTCATTAACTTCTATTAGTTAGGGCTGACATGGCACGTTACCTCCGTCAACTCTACTTCTTCTTCTTCCATCATCCTTAGCAGCCTAATAACTTTATCCATATTGTCGTTTAGACTTCTTATTCTTCTTCTTCTTCCAAGAGTATAATGCATTTAGCCATGTTTTGCTTGAAACCCATGTTTTTTCTTCTTAATTTGTTGGGTTTTTTACTATATTTTTACTTGAATTTCGATTCCTTTCCAAAGCAATGCTCTTTTTGCTTGAAACCTATGTTTTTTATTAGTAATTAGCTAGGTTTTTGCTTGGTTCCTCACAATTTGAAACTCTAGATATCAGTTATGTTGTTTTATTTATTCATTGAGCATGACAACAACAACCATTGTTAAGGACAATGAACTTTAACTAACCAGATTTCATAAGAACTAAAATTGCTATCGAAAGGGACACTAACAAGTTACAATATTTCATCAAATAAACTCACAATATTTCATCAAATAAAACCATAATTTAGAGAAAATTTTCTTTTCTTACAAATTTCATTAATCAAAGTGGACGAAATTACAACATTTCCCAAAAACAGAATACCCAAAATCAACCCGGCCTAATTTACAAAAGCAATTAACCAAGATGTTGAAAGAATAAACATCATGTATTTCTTATGTAAAGCATCGATGTGGGTAGCAAAAGATGAAGAAAAAGAAGTGTGGGGATTAAAAAGAATCCTTCTACCATTGACAAAAAAAAAAGAATTAGAGAAGAGTTAAGCTACTCATATCTTGAAATGGAAAAGCAAGAACTGAGCTTGAAACGAAACCACAGAATGGGTCGGTAGTAGCAGAAGAACTAATGACTTTTTTTCAACGAGATTCAAGACCCTCTCCGCTACGAACGAAGGTGAGTCTCGGCGAGTGACTAGCGGGATTTTGGTCGTAGTGGGGTGGCACTCTTACTGGTACCTGCAGTGACGATCGCCAATGACTGAATACGAAGATCGGGGATGATTGTTCAAATAGTGTTCTTACAATTTGATAACGAAAAGTGGATCATTATGTGATACCACATGCCATTAACTAGCCTTCTATATTTAGCCATAGACAATAAGATAAGAAACAATTCTTTGTAAAGGAGCAAACAGTAACAATATATGCTTGTCTTACATGTAATCCTGATCATGTTCCACAATTCTTCAGAAACACATACAACACATAATTTCTTCATTCTCAAGGTTTTCATTACTAAGGATAAACAACACAGCTCTATTCTTTGCAACTCCCACGGTTTATTTCCAATAGCGGACTTCTTCCGCGTATGAACATAATTAAGACCAGTCTTTTATTAGTTGTCATGTAAAATTATTAGTTGTCATACAACTAATAATAGTTGTATAATGCATAATAATAGTTCATAATGCATTGTAAGTTGATAACAATAATGGTTCATAGTTTGCACAAATAATGGTTGAAAAGTGGCATGATAAAATATCATATTTAGTCATTGTAATTTAGGATATTTTCAAGATTAGTCCTTAAAGCTTCTACTATAAATATCCTAGCTCATTTAGCTTCAAAATCATCCCAAAGTATTCTAGCTTTCTTCCAATACTAGAGAGAATTTAGAGAGTTTCTTGAGAGTTGTTTTCTCCTTTTTATCAAGAGAGAATTATCATTGTTTTCTCCTTGGTAGATTGAGAGAAGTTGTAATTCCTATTTTTTCATAGTGAAATTCTTCTACCGTTGCCCGTGGTTTTTACCCTATATTATTTAGGGGTTTTTCACGTAAATTTTGTGTCTCTTTTATCTTCATTTTTATTTTCTCAAATTATCAGTTATGATTTTGCTTTATTCGATAGTCGTCTTCCGCAACAATTGGTATCAGAGCCAGATTAGAGTATGTAATAGCTGCTTATTGTCTTTGTGGTTGCCACCAAAAGGTGGATCCTCCAACATAAGAAAGTAATAAGTTATTACTCATTCTTTGAAGGTTCCAGAGAACTATTCACGATAGTGCAATAGTGGGAGCTATCCATAATAGAAGCTATGGCAACAAAATTTGATATTGAAAAATTTAATGGGAGAAATTTCTCATTGTGAAAATTGAAGATGAAGGTCATCCTGAGGAAAGACGGTTGTCTAGTAGCTATCAGTGAAAGGCCAATAGATTTCACAGACGACAACAAATGGATTGAAATGGACGGGAATGCTATGACAAACTTTCATCTAGCATTAGCAGATGAAGTATTGTCAAGCATCGAGGAGAAGAAGACAACTAAGGAGATATGAGATCATCTCACCAAATTGTACGAGGCGACATCGTTACACAATAAAATTTTCCTTAAGAGGAAAGTATACACTCTCCGGATGTCAAAATCTAATTTAGTGACGGAGTACTTAAATACACTGAACATTTTATTTTCTCAGCTTACATCCTTAAGCTGTAAAATAGTAGAACAAGAACGTGCTAAACTTTTACTTCAAAGTCTACCGGATTTGTATGATCAACTCATCATCAACTTGACAAACAGTAATGTCACCAGTATAGTCTTCGATGACGTTGCAGCTGCTGTTCTACAAGAAGAAAATCAGTGCAAAAACAAGGAAGACAGACAAGTAAATCTGCAACAAGCAAAAGCGTTGACAACGACGAAAGGGAGATCAACGGAACGTGGCCAAAGCAGCAGTCACAAACATGGTATATCGAAGTTGATGAGCAAGAAGAATTTAAAGTGCTACAACTGTGTAAAGAAGGGTCACTTGAAGAAGGATTGTTGGAGTCTAAATAAAAACTCCAATCCACAAGGCAATACCGCAAACACTTCAGATGATGGAGATGCTCTATGCTGTGAAGCGTCAACCACCGTGGAAGGTAGAAAAAGATTTGCAGATATATGGCTCATTAATTCGGGAGCGACATATCACATGACCTCAAGAAGAGAATGGTTCCATCATTATGAACCTATCTCAAGAGGATCTGTGTATAGTTGTAATGATCATTCCTTAGAGATCGTTGGTGTGGGAACCATCAAATTAAATATGTATGATGGAATAATTAAAGTTATTCAATATGTGCGGCACGTGAAAGGCCTGAAGAAAAATTTATTATCGTACGTATTGTTGGATAATAATGCAAGCAAGATTGAAACACGAAAATGAATCATGAAGGTGTTCCGTGGAGCGCTTGTGGTGCTGAAAGGCGAAAAGAT